GGGCCAGAGCCCAGCGGGTAGAGAGGCCGTTGGCAGCGCCTCCTCTCCCCCGCTCGAGTACGATCGTCCCGCGGGCCCGGCTGCGCTTCCCGCTGTTGTGGGTGCAGGAAGGCCGCCGATGCGGCGCCGTACCCGCCTGTCCCGCCAGCTGGTTTTGTGTGCTTTGCTGGAGAGCCCTGTCCATCCATGGGGCAGGTGAAGAGGTGCTCTGGAGACAATGCTTTCACGGCGTTGCCTCGTTGTAAGGAGAAGGGTCTCTGAAATGCCGGTTTCCCTAGGCCTGCCTCTCCCTGCTTGTCTTGTATTGGTGCCGAACTAGTTAGTTTCAGCTTGTTTCTGAGTAAGGCAGGTGCTTTGCTAGCATCTGTGTAATGTCTGAGAGCATGTTCACCAGGTGAATCAGCCCTTACTGCTCTTCAGGTGTTTCTGTCAGTCTGTGTCCAGGTTGGTAACACATCCACTACTAAAAATGCAAACTGGGTCACAAGTTTTCAGATAATACTCTCTGCTCTCTTGCTGGGATGACTTAGTCTGTCCTCAGTCTCAGAGAAGATAGTAAATGGTTGCTGTGGGTGCTGTTGCTATTATCACCATAATGTTCTGGGGTTTTTTAAGCTAAAGGTAATCACTCCTTTTATGCCACAAAATACCAGGACTGTGGAAAGGCTGCAAATTTTATTATTATTTTTAATGCACCAGAAGAAGTAAGGAATTGAGATTTTGATTTAAGTGGGATTTTTTTGAATTACCAAATTCTGGTTAATTTATATAAAATAGCTTCCAAATATCTGTTTTTGCTTCAAAATAGTGAACACCTTAAAGCGTTTGTGATTGAAATCAATGACGATCAAATTTCAGTCAAGAACAGTCAGATGAGCAGGTTGGTAGCTAAGGTTTTCCTCACTGAAGAGAGAGGGGGTTAGGGATAACCTTTTGATTTAGCATCTACCACTTTCATACAATCCAGCACTATGTTTACCTGTGATATGAAATTTCATCAGTGCTTTCTACTGAAGGGTAAAAGTGCCAGTTTTGGAGTAGCAGTAATTTTTTAAGGTTTAATAATCCAGTTACTTCACCTGCATCTGACAATTGAAGACTTTATGATTCTGCTGGTTTCCCTTTTCTTTTGATTGCAGAATGCTAGATGTGTGTTGGCATACAGGTCTTTATGAAAGCTGTTGAACGATTGAATAGATGTTGGTTTAGCCTGCATCATTTGGCAATGTATCCAAGGATATGAATGCTGAGATGCATCTGCTGAAGTAGTGTGAACTACTGATTGCTACATGATGGAAGAGCTTCTAGAGGAATTGGTAAAATCCTGGCTGGGTTTTGAAGCCTGTGACTAAAATGGAGTTGAGACTGTGCCCAGTCTTTCTTAACTGTCTAACAGATTCACCCTCTTTATGTGTCACCTTCCTGCACCTTGTTAGTCCTGCTCTGTTGCAGTAAGGAGGCAACTTCACTTATTTCTGTCCTGTCAGTTATATCATTCTTGTTGTCTTGTCCTCTTTGGTGGATTACAGAGATATGTGGGACAGTTCTACATGGACCACTGTCATGGGAAGGGGATTTGCTACTGGCCTGATGGTTCCAAATTCACAGGAGCTCTTTATCTTGGCCATGTAGAAGGCTATGGGACCCTGGAATGGAAGGATGGCAGAAAATTTCAGGTAACTGGAAAAATGCTGTGCGAATACTGCAATTTCCTTGCCTTTCAAAGTCAGCATAAGTACAGGAAAATTTGAGTGTGGGTTTTTTTCAAGCAGCTCCCTTAGTGCTTTCGTTCCTTAGAGCAAAATTGTCATGCTTTGATCTCTAGTGAGTTAGGGCACTCTTTTCAAAAGCTTAGCTTCTGCTGTACTCAACTTTTGCATGGGGAAATACTGAAGGAGATGATCATAGAATCATTTAGGTTGGAAAAGACCCTTAAGATCATCGAGTCCAACTGTTAACCTAACACTACCAAGTCCACCACTAAACCATGCCGCTAAGTGCCACGTCTACATGTCCTTTAAATACCTACAGGGTTGGTGACTCAACCACTTCCTGGGCAGCCTGTTACAGTGCTTGACAACCCTTTCTGTGAAGACATTTTTCCTACTATCCAATCTAAAACTCCCCTGGTGCAACTTGAGGCCATTTCCTCTCGTCCTATCACTTGTTACTTGGGAGAAGAGACTGACACCCACCTTATTACAACCTCCTTTCAGGTAGTGGTAGAGGGCGATAAGGTCTCCCCGAGCCTCCTTTTCTCTAGACTAAACAATCCCAGTTCCCTCAGCTGCTCCTCATAAGACTTGTTCTCCAGACCCTTCGCCAGCTTCGTTGCTATTCTTTGGACACGCTACATCACCTCAATGTCTTTCTTGTATTGAGAGGCCCAAAACTGGACACAGTAATTGAGGTGTGGCCTCACCAGTGCTGAGTACAGGGGGACGATCGCTTCCCTAGTCCTGCTGGCCACGCTATTTCTGATACAAGCCAGGATGCTGTTGGCTTTCTTGGCCACCTGGGCGCACTGCTGGCTCATATCCAGCCAGTTGTTGACAAATAACCCCAGGTCCTTTTCCACAGGCAGCTTTCTAGCCACTTTTCCCCAGCTCTGTAGCGCTGGACGGGTTTGTTGTGACCGAAGCACAGGACCCGGATATTAGCCTTGTTGAACCTCATACAATTGGCCTCGGCCCATCAATCCAGCCTGTCCAGATCCCTCTGTAGAGTCTTTCTACCCACAAGTAGATCAACTCTCCTGCCCAACCTGGTGTCGCCTGCAAACTTACTGGGGGTGCACTTGATCCCCTCATCCAGATCATTGATAAAGGTATTAAACAGAACCAGCCCCAATACTGAGCCCTGGGGAACACGACTTGTGACTGGCTGCCAACTGGACTTAAATCCAGTCACCACAACTCTTTGGGCCTGGCCATCCAGCCAGTTTTTTTACCCAGCGAAGAGTATGCCTGTGTAAGCCATGAGCAGCCAGTTTCTCCAGGAGAATGCTAGGAAAACAGTGTCAAAGACTTTACTGAAGTCCAGGTAAACAACACCCACAGCCTTTCTTTCATCCACTAAGCAAGTCATCTTGTCATAGAAGGAGATTAGGTTAGTCAAGCAGGACCTGCCTTTCATAAACCCATGCTGACTGGGCCTGATCACCTGCTTGTCCTGTACGTGCCATGTGATGGCACTCCGGATGATCGGCTCCATGACCTTCCTTGGCACTGAGGTCAGACTGACAGGCCTGTAGTTCCCCAGATCCTCCTTCTGGCTCTGTGATGTGATACCATCTGTTCAGAACTAAAAATCTGATGCCTGGAAAAGTTTCTTATTCTAGTATCTAACATAAGCTTTCAGTATTTTTTATTCTTCTTTGATAAAGAGCTTATTAGTTAGACAGTACTCTCAAAAGGCATATTAGGATGCCAGAAATATGAAACTGGAGAAATACTGCATTTTAAGAAACTGTGGAGATAGACAGCAATCTGAAGTGTCCAGGTAGCTAGTTGTCTGTTTTGCATCATTTTCAGACCTGATGTTGCTAGTAGAAGCTGGAAATCTTGTTTTCTAAGAGTTTGCAGTCCTTTGTTTTCTTAGAAGGTATATCTGAAAAGTCCCAAGCATAGGGGAACGCTGCCCACTGATCCCTGGGTATCTCTGCAATTCATCAAGTAATCTAAAACATATAAAGGAACAACATAACAGTCTTTGCGTTGATCAACAAGAATATAACATTCTTGCTGAATGTTGATAATGTGGCGCTAATTACAGATTTTTGACAGCTTTATTTTAAGTATATGATGTATAATCTAAAGCTAGGGGAAAAATAGAGAAGCTTCAGATCATAACCATGCTTAGAATTTTATTCTTGCCAGTGGTAATACTTTTCTCCCACTTCTTTATCTTTGTAGCTAAACAGCTCAATGTGAATTTGCTAATTTTTGCTCTAAATAGCTGTTCTGAAGTTGTGATAGCTTAGTGTGAACCTGTCTTCAACCATATGTGTGATCCGGATATGCATGAGTCTGCTTAAATTTGGTAATGCTTATGCCTTACCTACCATAATGTCCTGGCCAAATTAGGATACCGTTATAGGAAGACTAAAACTCCTGTCTTGTAGTGCTTTATTTGCTACTGAGACTCTTCTGTTGGCATGTCTTGTCATGATTGCAAGGCTATAGATATCCTAAATTTAGTTACCATTGTAAGAAAAGAAATAACTGTCATTTACAGATTCTGTGTCTATGCAGATGTGTGTCAGACACGTTAGTTTTGATTAGGTAGCAAAATCTAACCAAAAATCTGTCCTGGCCTGAAAGGTAGCAGCATGGCTAATGAATCTAAAATTGGTCACAGAATAAAATTAAAAGAAAATCTTGCCCAGGCCCTAAAACCATCAGGAAGTTTCATCTAAACATTACATCTCACTGTAGTTAAATTTAGGGCTGTCCACTGTTCTTGTGCTGGAAGATTTGTGTTTGCAGTTAAATGGACCAAAGTGAATGTGAAGACTTTGCTGTTCAGATTGGCTTCATCAGTTACTGCTCTGTTAATAGGAAGTGGGCCAGTAAGGCCAGAACCAAACAGATTAGTTTAAATAGAAACCAGACTTTAATTGTACAACTTGTTTGATCTCTGACTGATACTAATGAGTTTACTTGTTTCTTAAGGGGCTGTACAAATCTGATGAGCGATTTGGACCAGGGATTGAGAGCTATCCAGATGGCTGTCAGGACATTGGCTTATGGCTCAGGGATCATCTAATTAAACTATGTACTGAAGTACCTGGTTATTTTTCTCTCTTGGATTATCCAGCACACTACAGATACATTGATGACAATTCTCAGAAGAAGTATATTTCAGTTGAGGAAGACCCGTTTCTCCGTAGCTATAAACATCTCCCTTTTGATGATAAGGATATTTTCCCTGAAGGAGTCTTTGCATATTCTCGTAACACAGATCATCTTACTTTGACTCATTCCTTCCTGGAAGAGTGTGATGCTCGGTATTTTCAGAACACCCCAAAGCTGCCTGAAGAAGACCCTTGGCCTATTGCAAATGTGACCCCTCTACCGGTTAGAATGCAGACGCATGTTTATAAGCATAGGTAACTATTGTTTTGTCTATTATGTATGGATTTTTAGAAATTGTTATCCATGGGTGTTCATTATTTTCAAATTTACATTGCAGGATAAAAGCTGCACTCCAGATTGGCAACTTGTAATCTCAAGGTCATAAAAAACAATGAGGTTCTTTTCAAAAAAAGAAACAAACAACATATTAATCTCTTAATTCACAAATTTTATTCCTTTAAGTTAAACATCAGTTTTATCCAGGTTACACCTATAAAAATAGTCTTATTGCTCATTAGCATGTCAGAGTTTCTGGAAGGCCAGTTTTGAAAGGAATTAGGAGGCAAGGGCTGTAGAGACCTGTTCTGACCTGTTCTGAGAGCGTACTGTCTTGCATAGAGGTAGAAATATGGAGAAGCATAGTGCCAGATTTTCAAAAGCACTGAAAATCTGGCCGATGATACGTTTTCATGGTTGTCTTGACTCTTGCTCTCCATCAAGGCTATGCAAAACATGCTGCAGCAAGTCTACAGCTAGTAGAATTGCCAACGGCATGTCAGTTTTTATGTAGCTTGGTACTTGTACATGGAGATGCTCTTTGGGCCTGCAGAGTATTTCCTTATTTGCTTTTTTGATAGGAACACAAGATACATATGCATATTTTATAGTGATAGTTAAAGCAGGTGATGGAAATTAAGTCATAAACAGATGTCATGAGTGTGCATGATAAATTGGTTCATAGAAACACGTGGTAGTTAGATTTTGTTTTCTTATTTCAGTAGAAGTTGGATGGCTGGATATTTTTTAACTCCTCTGTAGCTAAAATCTATATGCTGCTGCCAGCACCCTGTATACTGGCTTGCCTTTCTGCCATTAATATAAGCAAGCTTACACTATCTGCAATAGTTCTTAAAATGATAGCTGGCCTTATTTTCCCATCTTGCTCACCAACATGTTTTATTCTTGATGTGTTTTTTCTTTAATTGCCATAGAGGTCTAAGAGTACCTAGCTGCTTAAATGTGCCATACTTTTTTGTCCTTTTGTAGGCGCTGTCAAGTGGAGTTCACTTCAGATGTCAACCTCATTCTCAGCGGAGGCCGCAGTTCTTATGGGCCTCCAGGCCCCAGGGAACTTGCTTCAGAGCAGCTAATTCAGAAGGCAGCAAGAGGAGACTATGATGGGGTCTATGCAATTCTGAGGAATGGGCTTGCTCATCCAGACATAGCTGACAAACATGGATACACAGCACTTGCTGCTGCTGCTGTAAGACTCTAAGCATGACTTTTTACCACATGATGAGAAAATTCCTGGTATAGTAGGCTGGATTAAATTTTTCCTTTGTTTCATTACATAGTATGAAAGCAATGTTCAGTAAACAGGAAAAATAGAAAAGCGGTGTGGTGTGAATAGTGTCTGTAATGAATGGTATCATGCCAAACCCCACAGTAAATAAATAACCTAAAAGAAGCCCTTCAGTAAATATTAGACATGATTTCAAATGTCACGTTTGATTTCAGGTTATGATTATGCAGTGGACTAGGTCTATGTTCTTGGATGTGATGGTGTCCTTATTTTTTCTGCTAGTTGAGATCAGATTCAGAGAGAGTTGTTTTCTTTTTGCTGAAAAGTGGTGGTGCTTAACCATGCATGCACAACCTCAATTTCTGTAGGAGGGGGATGAAATCCTGCCCCCCCCGCCTTTTTCTTCATGCCCTTTTCAGCTACCTCAGTACTTGGCATTCATTGTAAATGGCTAGCAAAATCTAAATAATAATATAGAACACTATTTCTCCTGTAGCCATCTCAGTCACTTTTAGTCTCTTTCTGTTCATGAATCCTCACTGAATTCCTGTGAAATCCAGTAGTTAAGAATTAGCTTAAAAATGCATGTTCTGAACCCTGTAAGACACGGTTCAGTATTGTGTTTCTATTTTGTGGGAAATATAAATTCGAATTAGCTAAACAGTATAGAGCATCACTACTTTAAAACTGTGTTGTTAATTCTTTCCAAGTCAAAAGCTGGAATGTGCAAGTATGGATGTTTCCCCTCTACAGGTTCATTCCCACAATGATGTTGTCAATCTTCTTCTTGATAGTGGAGCTGATGTGAATAAGTGTAGTGATGAAGGATTATCTGCTCTTTCCATGTGCTTTATTCTCTTTTATCCAGAAGAATCTTTTAAGGGTAATATTGCTGAAAGGAGCTTGCACAGTTACAAGGTTTGTTTACTTCTAATCTAAAATGACGGAATCATAATGTGTTATTTCCTCAAGCTGTAAACTTGCTTTTTAAATTTACTGTGTATACTCACTAGGAAGAATTCAGAACTTTTATGCATTTTGCACTCTGAGAATGCAGAATAATCTCCACTGTCACTGCTAACTCTTAACTCGAAGGACCAAATGCCAGCACAGTTACAAGCTTACTCTGCAATTGAAATAAGCCGCTGTGTCAATAGCAGAGATGTGAGGCTGTGTTGGCTAAGTGTTTAACACGATGAAGATGCAGTGGGGCAGTTGATGGGAATTGCAAAAGTGTAAGTAGGATGTAGGTGATTCTCCTGGTACTACATAATCCTGGTGGCATCATGGAGGTGGCTAGTAAAAAGCAATTGTACTGTCAGAAATCTGCTGATCCTTGGGGGGTGCTCACAAAGGAACAGTCATATCCCTGGCCTTTGTCCTGCCACAAAGAGAAACACCTGCTCCCTATGTAGGAACACAATATACATTTTATAAGAGTGCAAATCTGGGAATGGGAATGGGAAAGAAAACAAAAGCAAGGGTGTCAGGAATCACCTGCCAGGATGAGAAAACAGATAAAAAAGGGGTCTGGGCAGGAACTGTGTGATCTTTGGAATGTTTCAGTGGAGTCTAGAAATGGAAGGGTGCTGCTGAGACTTCCACATGAGGCTAGACAGGTAGTGGCCCATGCCTTGAGGAAACTTGTTAGAAATTAAGTACCAAATAATCCTTGGTTGCTCTGAAGTCGCTGTTTCAGTTCCAAGAGTTTGTTCAAGTGGTGGTCCATTACTAAAGTTGCAAGACTTTTATGGGAAAGGGAGGAGTGAGGGATAGCAGCTGCTCCAAACCACACAGAAAATCAATGTGGAGCTATTACCTCTCATTTTGGAGGTAATATGAGGTAATTAGGAATAGAGAGTCGATCTTTCTCTGTTGGTTTGTGTCTGTCACAGTCTCTGAGATTCCGCAAGGTAAATGTACATTGCTTTCACTTTTCCTCCGAGTTGAATATGCATCCAGATTTGGAAATATCAGCCTTGTAGATCCTAGTTCCAGATTCTCATACAAGCTAATGCAGGTTGAAAATCTGTAAGTGTCTTGTTTTATTTCAGCAATTTTTTTTCTTTTCAGCTAGGTGATGTATACTGGAAGAAACTTTTAACTCTTCTAAACGTGTTTCAGACAGGAAATTACATGTTTGGAAAGTGAACAAGAAAAATATTCTGTTATATTAAGAGGGTTTGGGGTTTTTTTTAAAAAAAAAAACAAACTAGTTACATATTACTTCTAAATGCTTTCCCTAACAGTTATTAACAAAATTCTATTATCATTATATGCTGCACTGTGTTACTGTTCTGATGTGTTAATATGCTGAGTCATGCATTGGAAGAAGATTTTTTTTTTTTTTTTTCATTTTTGTAACCTCTTTCTTTTTTAAATCTTTAAGTGGAATGAACAGTCAGAATCCTCAGAAACGGTCAACATGGCTGAAGGCATAATCTCAGAGTAAGTCTCATGCACTGTAAATGGGAGACAAACTCTCATAAACCCTTTTGTATAAAGAAGGTAACAGTATTTCACGTATTTCACAGAAGTGTGCCTCCAGTGCAGGGAAAGATATTTTTTGTTTGTTTAACTGGGTAAATCTTGTTTTCATGCCAGTAGAAGCCACTTATTGTTTATACACTCTAATATAACTAATGTCAGCAGTGGGCAAAGGTTGCAGTTGAAAAGTATAGCTCAAGAAAAGGACATCATGCTTGAACAAGACAAGATTCTTAGTGGAATGTGAAAAGCTGCTAAGTATGCAACGGACACTTGCAGTGTAGTGTAGATGCGAGGAAGGAGAATATGTTCGCTTTATTACTTGAAGTCTTGGACTACATATGAACTTGCTGGTTGTTTTCTGCAAGTGTCTGTTCAGCAGTGTCAGCTGAAATGTAGTCCAACTATTTTGCCTTTGTGGATCTTTGAAAGGGCCACATTTTGCCTTTTGCTTTGCTTACAGAGCAGTCACCAAAGATGATGAAATTTTTGTGTTGGGTTTTATGGCAGTGTAGGTGATTTTGGTATCTTAAAACTCCAAAACTGAAAATTCCTGGTTGGCCTTTTGGCCTTCATCCCCTACATTTTGCTTCTGTGGCACATCCTCCCACCTGCCATGATTCTTGTTGTCTGAAATATTGTGCATATTGCATGTTGTTCATTGGAATATAAAGATCCATTGAATGTAGGGCTTGTGGGTAAAGCTGAGTTAATACCATGTCTAAAAATATGAGTCTCAGCTGAGAACACTTTGTGATGGAGTTTCTGGGTGATTTCCAAGTGCTGTTTGCCCCCCCCCTTTTTTTTTTTCTTTTGGTGGTGTCAGATTTTTTTGTGGTGTATGTGTGGATAGTTTGACTCCATGGAAATGCAGATGGCACCTGGAATATACTGTCCTAGTCTAGCATAGCTCCTGTTCCAGCTTTTGTTTAAGGCAAACACTGTGCCTTTGTTTTCTCAGGATAGATGAATGAGGTATGATTGAGGAAAGAACCTTCCAAGGAGTCCCTGATGGCAGGAAGGAGGAGTCTCTTTCTTTCATTAAACAAGTCTAAGACTAAATGTTTACAGTTCACACGAGTGACTGGTGGAGATACAGAGAACCTTGCCTAGCTATGCCTGTCTGTTTCCACGCAAGTGCTTTTCATGACCACAGGGACTACTTTTGCATGCCACACTTTTAGTTTACAGGGCTGAGAAACACTGGCAGTGCTGTCCCCTCTTCAGGTCATAATGTTGTTGCCTGGGTGGTGTAGGGCAGTTGTGATGCGGCCCTCAAGACTGACATGTCTTCCCTCTGCTAGGTGACAGTTTTCATGCCTGTTACCTGGGAGTCATTTTAGTCCACTAGCTTTTAGAGTTTTCTTGGAAGGTGCTAATATGTTATTCTGGTGTTTTCCGTCTCAACTCTAGACGACAGAAGAGATGGAAAACAATCCAACTGCTGCTTCATCGAGGTGCAGATCCCAATGCATCCTGGATCCCACCACACCTTCTGTTCTTTGCTGTTAAAGCCGCAGATGCAGAAGCAGTGAAACTCCTCTTAGAAAGGGGAGCCAGGACTGATGTGCAGCTTCCATCCAAGGTTTTACTGGGTTGTAATTCATAATGTGGGATTCTAGATGTGTACTGTAGCTTCAGTGCTCTACTCTAAAATATCCTGGATGTCAATCAGCTTTAGAATGGCCAGAAAGCTGTTTAAAGCAATTATCCTGTTCAAAGACTTTTTTTAGTAGAAAGAACTGAAAGCTCCTTACTCTCTAAGTATTTTTTTTCTCATCATGTTTCCTGGTTGCCAAGCTTGTGAGTGGCTGGGGAATACATGTGAAGCTGCTCCTCAAATTGGTAATAGCTGTTGTGATATTTAGTAGGCTTAGTGTCTGGGACCTTTAGTGTTCCACAGTCCTATAACTCTAGGCTCTAGGTTTATGATGGCTGTTTGTGAGACAGAGCATGTGGGAAGAGTAAGCTTGGATTATTCTTTGAAAAAATATTTAGTGTTGTTTAAGTGCTGCTTGTGATAAACAGGAGTCTTAATGCTATGTTTGTGTTTTCAGTTAGGGGGATTAACTCCTCTCCACATAGCTGCCTCAATTCCTGGGGAGGAAGGGGTCCAGATAACACAATACCTCCTGCATTCTGTCCCAGATCTTAATGCAAGGGCAGAAGATGGAAATGAGATATATGGTCCAGACAAGGTATGTTGCTTTTTGAGCTCATCTTCTTTCATCTGTTGAAATTCAGATTGCACAGGACCTAAGCAGGGAGTTGAGATTCCTGCCTGCTTGATTTCACAGTGGAATCCTTGCATTCTGCAGAAAGAACTTTCAAAAAAAGAAAAAGCCACTTGAGGTCTACAGTACTGGGTTGCACTAAACATATCCTTCTGGTTTTTGTGCCCCAGAACATTGTGCTATCATGCCTTATATAAGGCAGAGTTTAGAAGTCTCTTGTGTGTAGTCCAGTGCAAATGCCTGAAGATATGACTGCAGAAACAGATGTGTCTGGGACTTGCTTGTTTCATCTCCATTGAGCTGGCCTAATACTTCTTTTCTTTCCTTATTTCTCTTTTCCTTGAACCCAGGCTGTCTCTGCTAGATTCCTGCAGCATTCGCTGTGCCTCCAGGTTGCAGAAGGTCAGCCTAGCAGTAGACTTTTTTGGGAGTATAGCACTTTTTAATTAGAGTTGCCATTTTTGACGATAATTCTTTACTGCTGATGGAGCTATATCAGCAATACATGCTTTTTCTGGCGTTTGTTACCTGAGAAATCACTTTAAGTTGTAGTAACAAAATTATGTAGTCACAGAACAGTTGAAAGATTGGAAGGGACCTCTGAAGATTGTGTAGTACAATACCCCTGCTCGAAGCAGGATCAATTATAGCAGGTTGCTCAGGATCTAGTCCAATTGGTTTTTGAGTATCTCCAAGGGTGGAGACTCCACAACTTCTCTGGGCAACCTGTTCCAGTGGCAATGATTTTCCTAATGCAGCCCAGGATGCTGTTGATCTTTGCTGCAGGGCCACACTGCTGGCTCATGTTTAACTTGTCCACCAAGACCTCCAGGTCCTGTTCTAGAAGTTTTTTTCCATCTGGTCAGCCCCCAGCATGTACTGGTGCCTGGAGTTATTCCTCCCCATGTGCAGGGGAGGAATACTACAATTTCCTTTTGTTGAATTTAATAAGATTCCTCTCTGCCCAATTCTCCAGCCTGTCCAGGTCCCTCTGAAAACCAGCACAACTGCATGGTGCATTAAACCATTCTTCCCAGTTTTGTATCACCTGTGTACTTGCTGAGGGTGCACTCTGTCCCGGCATTGAGGTCATGAGTTAAGACATTAAACAGTATTGGCCCCAGTATCTGCCCCTGGGGTATAGCACAGCTGGACTTCGTGCTGCTGATCACAATCCATGATCCACCTCACTGTTCAATTGTCTAGTCCATACTTCTTCAGGTTGTCTATGAGGATGTTATGAGAGTCAGTGTTGAAAGCCTTGCTAAAGTCAAGGTAAACAACATTCACTGCTTTCCCATCTTTCACCAAGCTGGTCATCTTATTGTAGAAGGCTATCGTGTTTGTCAGGCACGATTTCTCCTTTGCAAACACGTGCTGACTGCTTCCAGTCACTGTCTTGTCTGTAGTATGTCTGGAGATGGTTTCTCAGAAGATTTTTCCATCAGTTTCCCATAGGCCAAGGTGAGGCTTGTAGTTCCCTGGTTCTTCCTTCCATTTTGCCAGGAATGCAAAGAAATTCCTCAGAAACCTTCCCTGCTTGCCGTGACCATTCAGAGGTAACCAGAGTGGCCTTGCAGTGACATTGGCCAGCTCCCTGGCATACTATCAGGTCCCAATCACTTAAAAAAGGAGTTGGCTTATGTAACTAGACTGATAAAATTTATCTTGTCATGACAAGGACTAAAGTGAATGTCTGCAGGACAGGGAGATTTACATGGCTTTGTCAGTTTGTATTTTAGTACTTTGTCCTTAAATAGGAAACAGGAGAACTTAATACCTATTTATCAACAGTACTTAGTTACAGAATGCCCAGACACACTGTAGGCAAGATTGACTTTCTCAAATATCACTTTTGGTTTTTATATTGATCTGGTGATCCTATATTCATAGACCTTAAATGAATGACACATGAATGAGCTTGATTCAAGGCAGGCCCTTCGTGCCTGAAAGCTTGCTTCTTCCCTCCCACTCCCTACACTGTGTTGTTTGGCCCAGTAAAAGTTATTAACATCTGTCTCTCAAATTTGCCTTCCCTAGACTTCTTCAGTAGTTTTATTAAACTTCTTAGTGTGCAGTGTGAAAGCAGTCTAGCAGATGAGACCTGAATCTAGAAAAGAAAGTAGAAAAAGGGTGGCTGGGGTTTTTTGTGGGGCTGAACAAGTCTTGTCCACGATTGAGATCCAGACAGGGTGACCAGGCAGGCTTATTTTCTGTTAACTTGTCTTTAAGCTATGTTGCAAATGTGCATCATTTCACTTAGATTCCTCAGCCTGAAGCCAGAGAAGCCAACTTGGCAGGTGGTGTCACTTTGCAACTGAAAAATGAAGGAGGACCACCACAAGAGTACTTTTCCTCCTATAGTGGTCCTGTCCCTGAAGAAGGTGGAAGGAGCGCATTGCACATTGCATGTGAAAGAGAGGATAACAGTGAGGTAACATCACAGCATCTGAGGCTCTGCTCATAGGGAGTAGTTCTAAGGCATTCTCAAATGACATAACTTGGCAGTGAAGACATTTCATCCCTGTAAGGAGCTGATTGAACACCAGGAATAAACTCCTTTTCTACTGAATTATGAGCACTGTACTGATTAAAAATCTGTTAGCACTTGAGGAAAAAACATTTCTTAAACCTTGGGAGTTCTGTTTGACAAGAGAAACTCCTTTAGTCGAGTTTCCATTGGTAAATTTGCCATTAATTTAATCATCCACAAGGCCAATTTGAAGTTGGAGAGTCTTAGCTTTGGCATGTGCTAACCTCTGTGCCTTTGTTTTTGTACTATAATAACATTCTTCTAGAAGATTTGGGATGCATACGGTTGGGGAAAGGTATTTGAGAGAGGTGACCTACTTCTTCAGAAGCAAACCTACACATTCCTTCTGGTGGCAGGATTAATGAGATCTGATAATCCGGTTGTGAAGAGGTTTCATGTATAACACCATTATGCTTGGGGTTCGCAGTCATGAGAAAGTGGATCTATGTTTTTACTATAACATCATAGTTCAGGTGAAAGGTCTGAATGTGTTTTATGCTGCTAATTTTATTGATTATACTATTACTATCAAATTTAATATTAAGACGTTAACTTTATTGTGATCTAATTCTACCTTTTTCCACTGCACTTGTCTACAAAGCATGCTCGAGATGTTATCCGCCTCCTTTTAATGCATCAGGCAAATCCAAACACATTGTGGAGTGGCCATTCACCACTTTCCTTAGCAATTGCCAGTGGGAATGACTTGGTGAGCATCTTTAAGTTCCTTCATTTTTTGGGGTGTATTTCTCTATTCATGTCTGCCTTCTCTCATGACAGCCAAACTACATAATGAGTGGTGCTTGCTATCATACATTTTCACTAAAAATAATAAAGTTTTTACTTTTCTTTCAAACCTATGAATGTTTCATGAGCTGAACTAGAGGAGTCCTAAAGGACTATAGCATGAGGTAGCCAGAAATATTTGGATAGGACTCAGAAGGGACTAGCATTTGGAGAACTGTGTTCATTTTATGAATCACAAGGACATTCAGTTCTCTTACACGCTGCCTCCCTGCCTGGAGCAACCCAACCAAACACCAAAACACTTGCTTCTGGGTATAAGACAAAACTGTACTGATTAATGGTAAGAAGTATGTTGTTCTATGGAAAGATTAATAGTCAGTCCCAGAAAGGATTTGATTGTAATGAGGCTCAGAGCGCTCCATAGATGAGGCTTATAGTTCACACAGTAGAATTCAGTGTGTGAAGTTAGCACCTGTCTTCCCGAGCAGGGAATGAACTCCCTTCTGCCCACACTAGGCCCATAAGAGCAGGACCACAGCAGCCAGCACGGTGCAAGAGAAGATATGCAGCCAAAGCAGGTGATGAAGCAGATGTGTCTGCAGTGGTCTGCCTCTCTTCGAATAGAGCTCGGTGTGTCCAGGCTCCTGGCTCATCTTTGCGGAAACGAAGGCAGGAGAATGGTGGGATGAGAGCAGCACCCTGGCTCCCCATGCAGTTCAGCTGTTGTGCAGCCAGCACGCAAAGTCATACTTGTAAGGGGGCAAGTGCGACTGACTGTAGCCTAGCAGTTCAGATAAGCTGAAAGGGGCAGGGTTGGAGTGTGATTTCTGCTTCCCCGTTTACTTTTTGCCAGTACAAAAGCACACATATAATCCAGAGATGCATTCTCTTGGAAACACAGCCATGAGCAAAGCTGGGGAAAAACCCTTTTCAGTATTTTTGATTAAATCAACATTCTACCTTTTGTTCTGTCACTACAAAATTTATACTTTACATAGGATAAATGGTAGAACATAATAGAAAATATCTGTTATGTGTTGTTGTTCTTTAACTATTTTCCTTTCACTGGAAGGGTATCAAATATCTATAAAAATAAAACTGGAGCTAGAGCATGGACTATGGAAGGGGTTATAATGGAAGTGGCTACAACTGCACACAACATAAAACAGGTTCTGTATCAAGTGAACCTGAACCTTTTTTCTTACACAGTCTTCAAAATTTTTAAGACCCTTTTGGTATTTTTCTGGGGAAAACGCGTTTTCTTGCAACGCAAATTTAAATTTCATGATTTTGAACGAAATAAAATGTGCGATATCCAACAACTTCTACTGCTTCTTCCACTTTCTCAGAGGCTAATGTCTGATGAAGTGATGATCTAATAGGCTGTAAGTGATCAACCTATCTAATTCTTATCTTTGTAGTAAAGTGGTTTTTTTTAAAAAACACACTTTATGAATCAGACCAGGTGATTTTTAAAGCTACCCTCTTATGTCTTTGATACTGTTGTTTGGTAAAGTATTCCATAATGACATTATGATTCATGCTAAAAGAAGTGAAAACTACTGTCTGGTGGACTAAATTTTTGTGTGCTCTGAAGCTATGACAAATACTAGCAGATACTCCAAGTGTGCTGTGGTAAATACTGTAAAACTTTAGGGTCTTGACTGATCTGGCTAGGGTCTCACTTTCCTGCTGTAGAACTGTCAATAATGGCTTCTCCAGTCACTAATTTGTCACATTTGCATATGCACATTTGCAGGCAGTGGTTGAACTCCTCAAACATGGGGCTGACCCAAATCTGCCATTAAGTGGAGCAGTAAGAAGTGCCCTCTGCGCAGCTCTCAATACGGCATATGAACGGCAGAGAACAGCAGCACAGAGGATTGCTTTGGTGAGATAACATCTGTGTGTTTGTTGAGTTTTTTAAACTTCAGAAAAACATTGAGTTTTGTCAGGTGCATTGAGTCCCCTTTCTCTTTAATGGGTAAGCTGATTTTTTTTTTTCCCCAGAACAATTAATTTGTGTCTGTTCCTAATGCTGTTTGTTTCTGTCCTGAGGAACAGGGGTTTTGTATGGAAATTCATTTTCCTGTTTGATTAAAGAGGATGATGACCTCCTTGTGTAGAAGAGGAAAAACTACATTAAAGTCAAATGGGATGGTTGTAGTGCCGATAGCCCTGTCAAATCTGACTATTACCTTGTTTATAAACACAAGCAGCATCCACATGAAGAGAGATGCCTTGTGTTTGGTTGTTATTGTAAAGTGGTCAATGCCAGTTATGAGTGCACTTTCTCATCTATGATGAGGTCAATGGCAGCGTTTGGCCTTGTGAAAACTGGAGTTTTTCTCCTCATCCCAGGGAGCACAGGGCTGGTCTCATTCAGAGTGAAGGTGAAGAAGACTGCAGTTGAGGGGTCTGGGAGCGGAGGCAGTTTCCCCAGCTGTGTTCTGTTCTGCCCCCTCCCTCACTAGTTGTCCCTGCTTCATTTGTTGGTGCAAGATTATGGAATACCCAGAAACAAATAGCAACTGCCTGCAAGAAGCTTTGACTTACAAATTACATTTAGATTTGACAATTCATCATCAGCTCTAAAGGGGCAGAAGAAATGCATGGTTTGGTGCACAAGATAGTCTCACAAACAGAGGTTAAGCTCTGATTCTCAGTCCTGTCTCTTTAGCTGTGGTGTGAATGCATTTTTTTGGGAAGGTTTTCTTTTTGCTTGAATGTGTAATGATTTGCTTTCTTCAGGTTGATAAGCTGCTTGAAGCTGGCGCAGATATCCTTGCACCAGTTACTCTTAGGGAAGGACAGAGAAAAGCTGTGGGAACAGCTGTTGACTATGCCTATTATAAATATTACCAGGTATGACTTCAGTTCCCGTATCTAAAAGTACTGTGCATTTGCATCCATTCAAATACATGGCCTGTTGTGTCCTTATGAATTGTCTAGGGCCTTCTTCAGAAACTTTCATGGAAATTTGCATTTTCCCTTCATTTGTTGTGAGACTCAGTTCAGCACCAAAGGAAACATTAGTCACTTAAAGTCTGAATAGCTCTAATAGTTTTGCCTGTGAAGGCAATCCTTGCTGTCACATATTATAGTAAGTTTCCATTCATAATCAGATTGGAAAGAGTTAATTGTAATCTTAAACCCAGGCATTAAAACCAAATGTAATATGTGTTTCTGTGAGGCTACAGTCAAATTGGGAGAAGTTATTGTGGGTTATATATTATGGTAATTTTAGATGTGTTGTAAGCTATGATAGGACATTATTGATCAAACTTTAAAATAATGGATTTCCTAAATAAAAAAATGTATTTAAATATAACATACATTAAAATATGTATCACGTATTACATGTTATATATTGTATAAAAAACCCTAAAATATATATTTACTAAATAAATAAATGGATTTACTAAAGTCGTCCTTAATCATTTATTAATCCCTTATAAAAAGAATCTTACTGTGAAGTATAACTAATAAATTTCTGCCTGATGCTTTTTTTTCTGGAAATAGTTGTTTAAAAAAATGTTTAGAAGGCCTGGCATTCAGTGACAGTTCTAATTAGACCTAATATAAGATGATTTTTTTTTTATAGCTTTCTTATTAACAAAAAGCTTACATGATAAGCAGATTGTTTACCTCTGGAACATAAACCGTAGTTGTTCTGAAAAGAACAAAAGTAATGGTGCACCTCATTCATTGAGCATCCTGCTTAGAGCTAACAAGGGGTTTTGTATCCCACACCGATGTTCTATGTAGACATTAAATTGTGATTTCTTTGCTTGCAATCGCAGCTGATCCTCAAATGGGAAAATAAATTAAGCAAGTTATAGCTGTAATTACAGGTCAAACTTGATCACCATACTCCAGGTACCTTACTTTCCTGCCTTGCTCTGGACTTTTGTCTATACTCTACTTGCTGGCACGCATTACAGGGAAGCAGTATGGGGACTTGAGGAACATAATAGTGGACAAGCAGTGCCCTCTAGCTGTCTTTTAATTTCCAAGAAACTTTTTGGTGCTTCCAGAAGTGCTGGGAGAGGAGGTCTGCAAGATGAGGGCAGCTTCCAAGTGCAAGGTCCTGCACCTGGGTCAGGGCAACCCCTGGTATCAATACAGGCTGTGGGATGAAAGGATTGAGAGCAGCCCTGGGGAGAGGGACTTGGTGGTACTGGTGGATGAAAAACTGGACATGAGCCGGCAATGTGCGCTCACAGCCCTGACAGCCAACTGTATCCTGGGCTGCATCAAAAGAAGTATGGCCAGCAGGTCGAGGGAGGTGATTCTGCCCCTCTACTCCGCTCTGGTGAGACCCTGCCTGGAGTACTGCATCCAGCTCTGGAGCCCTCAGCCCAGGAAAGACGTGGACCTGTTGGAGCGGTTCCAGAGGAGGGCTGCAAAAATTATCCGAGGGCTGGAGCACCTCTCCTGTGAGGAAAGGCTGAGAGAGTTGGGGTTGTTCAGCCTGGAGAAGAGAAGGCTGCAGGGAGACCTTATTGTGGCCTTTCAGTACTTAAAGGGGCCTTATAAGAAAGATGAGGGCAGACTTTTTATTAGGGCCTGTTGAGATAGGACAAGGGGTAATGGTTTTAAACTAAACAAGGGTAGATTTAGACTAGATACAAGGAAGAAATTTTTTTACAATGAGGGTGGTGAAACACTGGAACAGGTTGCCTGGAGAGGTGGTAGATGCCCCATCTCTGGAAACATTCAAGGTCAGGTTGGATGGGGCTCTGAGCAGATCCCTGATCTAGTTGAAGATGTCCCTGCTCATTGCAGGGCAGGTTGGACTAGATGACCTCTAAAGGTCCCTTCCAACCCAAACTGTTCTATGATTCTATGATTCCCCCTTGAAGAAACATTTGAAAATTGTTTTAGTTAAATTGTTGAGCACTTACCAAACTGATGACTGGAACAACTAGAATGTCTAACCTCAGCATGTCCTGTGCCCCATATATCACAGACTGAGGTCCAAGCCAGGATCCAGCAGGGATGATGCTGTGCTTTTGGAACAGGTTGGCTTTAACTCTGAAACACTTGTGTGTTAGTGTCCCCATACATTAGTGGATTAACTCATGGTATGTTGCAGGATAGGAGAATTGCTTACACACCGTACCACATATTGTCAGCATCTGAGCAGGAAGTTTTTCAAACACGCCGATCACTGCTGGAACATATTACAGCAAAGCTCCGTGAGTGTGTCGTCCTGAAAGAGAAAGATTGGGATCAAGAAGAGTTGAGAAGATCCAAGAAATGTTAGTTCAAGTCTAAGAGTAGTTCAAGATTAAGGGTAGCATCACCTGGCGTGAAGGGGAATTTATTGTTATAATTCCAGTGTTACTGTCTGAAAAGGTAACTCCTAATAAAAACTGCTCCTACATATTTGGTAAGGAGACGTAGGGGTTCTACAAACATTAAAGAGAATAAACAAGGCATTCTATGATTTGTGAAGAAAATCTGAATGAGTTTAGTGCCTGTCAGCTGCCTCCTGGTAAATCCCTGTATGAGATCTGTTGCCATGTGTTAAGGAGTGATTGAGGGAGCTTGCTCCTCTTTCATGGGAGAACCTTGGAACTGCTTTGCATTTAGTGCAGGGAACAGGATGCATGTGATGGTGACTGTGGACATCTAGCATATTTTCATTCCTTATGGCAACTTACTCCCAGGTCCTTTCCTAAGACTCCCATTGTACCAATACTCTTCTGCTATTAGAGTAGCAACAATGAATATATAAATTAAGATGATTTCAGTTTACATCCTCAGTAGTGTTCAAATGTGTGGTGAAATCTGGCTTAGAATATAGGTCTCAGAATACCAGTCTTTGGGGCAGATGATGCATCACACTTGGGAAGTGAACTTTGAATATAAGGTTGTTACCTTTGCAGTTCAGCATCACCTGTGACTCTGTGGCTTGTCACAAGCAGGAAGTAAGAGTAAATTATCTGTATGATTTCTTCTTCTTGTCTGTGACATAGCAATTTAGCTCCTTTTTTCTTGGCTTCTGAAGCTTGTTGATGGAAAATGCATTTTATTATGTATCTTCAAATTTTATACAGTAGGCAGAGCCAAGCAGACTTTTATTGAAGGTGGATCTTGTGACTAGTATTCTAATTCTCAAGTCAGAATACTGATTTTTGTTTTCCTCGGTGCCCCCTGTTGTTGTAGTGGATTCAGCCGTTCATACACGTGTTTCAAAGAAGAAAGGAGGGAGCCATCATGTGGAAGAAGTGAGGTACTCAAGTATTGACTGTTTCTAGGCAAAAATACTATGACCTGGGTTTTCTTCCTCACCAAAACTATTGTCACGCTGCCATTTTTCTCCTTTCTAGTTTTCCTCTCTAGTCGATCCAGACTTATCAGCTGCAGTTAGCTTCTTTCTCTGCTCTGATCACACCACTCTTTTTCAGCTTCAGACTTTGCCATGAGAGTCTGCATCATATTCAGTCTTCTTGTGGGAAGCACAAGTGTTTTAAACAAATTAATGACATTAGTACCATAGAATTGCATGCAAATGCTAAGAAATAGGTCCATACAAACTTTGTGGCTTATATTTCTCCAGAAATTGCAGGAACAATTTGTGCAATTTGAATGTTATTCTTAGAACTGTGTATTAACAAAACTTTGAATACTAATGGAAATGCTTGCCTCAAGGATACTGAGTTCTGTCATCAGTTTCTCCTACTGCAGGGAATTCACAGGCTTCTGAACTTTGTCTCAGTATCTGAAGAAAGAGGAAGTAACATAGGTGTCAGGAACTGGGGCACTTTTGAAGACAGAAATTTTGAGGTAGCATTTTTGTTGAACTGAGATGGATCAATAGCAGCATAAGATACGGAAATAACCAGAAGAACGTAAAGTGAACTAAAATAAAATCTGGAAGGTCAACGTAGCACATAAAGATATTACAAATAGATCTCAGCAATGACTTGCAGGGACAGATGAAACCTCAGCGAAACTTGCTAGCTATTGGGGAAGGATTCTTGAAGGCTTTAAAAAGGATGTAAATACGTAGCCCAGCTTGCACGTAGATCTAACATTCTGCTTCCCAGTCCCACTGAAAGCCTTAGCCCAAGCACTCTTCATTTTATGTTCCAACTTTGGAATAACTGGTGTGGTGCAGTGGCCTGTGAATGTCCCTGTTTGTCTCTGCAGTATCCCAGTGGGTTCTATGAAGGTTTTTTTAAGTTTGCCAGCCTGGCTTTGTTATCTCTGGCCATATATAGTCTGGTCTGCCTGCCAGTTTGAAAATGGACATCTCCAGACCTGATGTCATGAGTACACTAAAGCACACAGTGTGCTAGCGTATGGCAGGATGTGGATGTTGGTTTGGTAAACGCTTGGGCATGTTTCTCAGTAGGACACTTGGCTTTTCTGGGGGCTGTTTCTGGGGGCTGGCTTTGCAGCTGGTGTGAAGTCTGTTCTCCACAGACTCCTCTGATAAGCTACAGTCTCCTGTTTCTTTATTGTTGAACATTATTTCTATATTGTAGCCATTTTTATTTAGTTTTACTGTGATCTGCAAACATGCTGTCAACTTGAGGAAAACCCTAAACAAACAATAATGTGCTTTAATTTTACAACTACCTTTGTTCTAGACTACCATTCTTTAAATATTGCTATCAGTGTGGACGTTCAGTCGGTGTTCAGCTGTCACCTTGCATGCATTGTCATGAAGTCTTCACTTGCAGTGCAACTTGCAGAAGGAAGTCCTGGAATGAGCGGCATAGGCAGGAGTGCTTGGGACTGCTGGGTAAGTCTGATTGTCATTACTATTTGAGTACAGTGGCTTGTACATGTGTACTGACCTGGGTATGTCTTCCTTGTAATGGACCAGTAAAATGTGTTTGAAGAAGGAATTTAAATAAAAAGCTTCAGTTCATTCACTTGAATAGCTGTGCTTTTTGTAAACCCACCAGCTTTAAGAGAGCTACTACTGTGTCATTACTCTCAGTTTCAAGAGAGAAGAATCTTTAAGGTGAGTGCAGAGCAAACAAAATACTCTCTCTGACTAAGGTTAGCAACTGTGGGCATCACTAGACAACTTTCCAGGCTGAAGGACCACAATAGATATAATAAGCTAGGCAGAGTGGAGCTTTCCGTACAAACTACTTCTTAATCACGTCTATCTGTATATTAGAAGAGAAATCAATGAGATTTCTGACTTTATGCATGGAATTGTTGATACCACACTACTGTGGTTCTTGGAAACCACACTTGTGCTGATAAAAATGAGGCCACATTACACATGCCACATGCTACATAGCAGTAGAAGATTAGCATGGTAGAAATCATACTATTTTAATTATATCAGGTGCTCACATAGATTGAATGAGAAATCTGTCAAATGTGAAGATGGATACAGAACTGCTGTATTCATAGAAGTTCTGTGATTGATCTGTCTTTTAGTGGCTGCCTGGGATGGGACTTTTAAATCTGGATACATGTAAAACCCTGTGTGTTAGGGATAGTGGGGTGTGTCCCACTGGAGATAAGTTATATCAAACATATGTTTATACATATGCTTACCAGTATGGGCTCTGAATAGAATCAAACTAGAATAGAATAGAATAGACATCAGACAAGGACAAATGGTGGGTAATATGGCACCTGTACACTGGAGGACTTAAACATGAAAAAAATTACATTCATTTAGAAAACAGAATTTTTTGACCTTGTCTTTAAAAATGTAGTATGTTATGGATACAGCTGGGTGATGCTAGGGTGTTAACTAGTAATGATGTAAGTTACTGCTTCTTGTTGTAGTAATCCCTTTCCTGTATGGTAAACGCCAAATTTCATTCAATTCAGATTCAGTGAATTCAATTCAGAACAAGTGTGAATGTCTTCCTGTAGAAAGAATTTTTCTCAGCAATAAACAGACTTCTTTTTAAGTAGTGTCTTCCTTTCTAGTTAATTTTGAGGTAGAAAGGTTTTTGTTTGTTCCTTTGTTTTGTTTCTTTTTTCTTTCCCATTGTTGTCCTTAACTTAAAATGACCTGAAATTTCCTGACTCAGACCAGTTTGAGCAATTCAGTCTGTTGCTCTGAGAGCCTCTGATGTTCTCCGCCCTGTTTCCTGATCCCTGTGCTTTTCACTGTAGGGCAATGTGATTAGCATTTATTTTGTACCTTATGAACAAAACTCTTAATGTTTAACTGAGTCCTGAAGTAACTAATAGTACTAACTGCAGGATTAATACACCCTGAGATATGCTTACTAGAAGAAACTCCCATATGTGGCCATTGTTTGTTAGGAAGTTTATAGGTAAGTTAGTAGGTAGCCACAGCTACCTGAGAGTTGTGTCTGTTAACATCACATTTAACAAACTATGCCAAAATAGGGACTTCCTCAAGTCTTGTACCTGCTTCCAGTTTATTGTTCCAGAGAAACAAAAGGTCACCCAAAGAAATATGGTTTTGGTTTTTTTTTTTTTCTTTTCCAGAGAAGAGTACAGGTCAAGCAACTCTGGATGCAAGCAGTGCAGGATGCAAAAAGAATATCACTGGCAAAAAGGGGGGAAATGGAAGAGAAGGGAAAGATGAAAGGAGAGGTGGAAGAAAGAGTAAAGTTGGGATTGGTGGAAGAGAACATCACAGGAAGAACAACTGACTTGTTTCAAGTCACTCCTACTATTGTGTGGACAAGTTTTAATACCACTGTACTTTCTGCCTTGTAGTCCACTGCTACTAAGGTTAAAAGTGATCTCATTTGACATGGTCTGAGAAACTAAAGCCAAACCATCTTTCTAAGATAACGCATATGAGCTCAAGGATGATAATGCCATCAAAAAACCAGTATGTGTGGGTATATACAAGTTATATATTTAAATAAAAGTTTGCAATTAGAAATATAGTGAACTTCAGACTGGTTTTAATGGTCTAATGCTGTATATATTTTTAAAAAAAACAATATTGACCATTATTAAACTTCATTACAAATATTCCCTCCTGTGGGGAACAGAGGGCCCATTTGACAACTCTAGGGAGGTTTGTTGCTTCATGGAGGGCTTAGATCTGGGATTCTGGGGAGAGGTTGCTGAGGACTGTTCAGCCCTTAGACTATCACCCCTTGATATTAGCCCACATGGGCACTGACAATCCTGCCAGGAGAGTCTCTGAGCATATCAAGAGTGATTACATGGCTCTGGGGATGAGGGTTAAGGTGAGGGGGGCCCAGATGGTTTTCTCCTTGATCCTACTGCCAAAGTGGAAAGGCTTAAGGAGGATGGATCTTGAGGTTCAGCACCTTGTTGTGCAGCTGTGTCACTGACAATGGTTTGGCTTTAAAACCACAGGACCCTATTTGGGGGTCAAGGACTGGTAGGGGGGTAGAATCCAGCTGACAACGTGGGGTAAAAAACCATCTTTGCTAACAGGCTGGTGAACCTGAGGAGACTAGGAATAAGATGGGGGGGGCGGGTGGAGATGACGACACACATTCAAGTGAGGAAGTGGTGGACTGGTCTGGCAAGCAAAGGTGCAGAGTGATGTGGTTGAGTCCTCAAAATCAACAGAACAGGGCAGAATGGGGCCCACCCGCAAATAAAGAAGTGCTGAGAGAACATAATGGGGAAGCTCTTACCTTTTCTTGGGAAACCAGCATGACTGTATTGCACCTTTCTGAACTGCCTGTACACTAATACAGTCAGCATGAGGAGCAAACAGAAGGAATTAGAAGTTTGCGTGCCATTAAAGGGCTACAATCTCATTGAGGTCACAGAGATGTGCTGGGAAAGCTCACATGACAGGGATGTTGCAATGGATGGATATAAAGTCTTTAGGAAGGACAGGCTGGGAAGGTGATGAGCAGGAGTTGCCCTTTATGTGAGAGCTGCTGGAATCCATGGAGCTCTGCCTTGGGGCGAGCTAGTTGAGAGCTTATGGCTTGGGATTAGCAGGCAGAACAACGTGGGTGATGTGAGGGGGGTATCTGTACAGACTGCCTGATCAGGAAGAAGATTAGTAGATTAGGTCTTCCTCAAACAGCTGGAAGAAACCTTATGCTCATAGGCCCTAGTCCTCATGGGGGACGTTGACCATCCTGGTATCTATAGAAGGACAATACAGCAGAGCACAAACAATCCAGGACATTTCCGGAGTACATTCATGACAGCTTCCTAGCACGGGTGATTGAGGAGCCAATCAAGGGAGGTGCTCGGCTCAGCCTGATGCTTACAAAGAAGGAAAAACTGGTTAACTGATTTGGTGACATCCATCTGGATGGTTGAGCTGACTGACTAGTCAAACTCCAAGCACCTTGGGTGGGTGATTATGAATGAAAACAGCAAAAATCTTACATTTGCCTCTTTCTATTATGAATGCCAGTGATACTCCATCATCTTTCAAACAGAGAATTTGTAGGTGAGTGTAAATCATTAATGTACCTACTGATGTAGCTTCCCTATGTTTGTGGTGTTGTCTCACAAAGGGAGTTCATTACCCAGTGTGCAACAATCCAATCCACACACTGAGCTGAGATACCGATTTTATTTCATTTCTGCACAGAGGTGGGTGCTAGGTAGTAATTACACAACGCTAGCACACCAAACGAGACTTTCTGTGCCATATTTATACACAAAACTTACAGAGCTAGTAATCATTCTTTTTACAATGATTGGTTAGTAAATACCATCCTATCTGCTATTGGTCAACTCTATTCTAATTAGCCTCACTTGCTATGTGAATTACCATGCATGCTCCTTTGGGGCAGGGCAGGCAAATCCTTTTGGTCCTAAATTGAGTTGGTGATCATGATCTGCCCCTGCTGGAATTACCTTTCCCCCAGTTACTGGTTTTTGGCAATTGTCCAGTTTTTCCAGCACCTGCTAGGGTAGGATGTTCCCTTTTATCAGTTTCTCAGTACTTCTTCAAGGTCTAGTTGCTCCTGGATGTCTTTGGTTAAAGGATACTGAATGTTTGTTATTATGATTAGGGATGATTAAGTGTCCTTTACTTGCCAGCTTACAAAAACATCTTGGCCTGATACAATGTTAGCTAAGTTTCAGAGTTAGCCTTCAACAGTGGTGTGTTTGTGTTCCCTAATACCCCATGGTGGTACTTTCAGTCGCCTTCAGTTCCTTTGTTTAGCTCCCTGTCCTGGTTTTGGCTGGGATAGAGTTAATTTTCT